AACTCAAATGGTCATGCCACCTAGCGTCTATGTCCAAGGTGAGACTGATGGAGCATCGTAAGCTACCTAGAGTATTCCTAGCATAAACCACATCATTCATGCAATTTAAACAACATAGGAGCATGTGGTACACGCAACAAGTCATTCAATATACAAGTATACGTACGTAAGTATGCAATCAAGATTCAAATGCACTTAAGACAAGTATAGAAGATATAAGTATACTAAAGTAAATCATCAATATACAAGGGTACACACTAAGTACACTAAGCAATATTGAAATGGAAATGCAACATATAAATTCAAGTATACATTTCTAAGTATATTAAGCAATGTTGATATGCATGGCATACAAGTATATAAATCCAAGTATACTAAGCATTTTTTTTATATATAAGGCATACAAGTATACAAATCCAAGTATTGTAAGCAAGAAATGAAGTATCATGCATCCAAGCACAAGTTAAAAGTAATCCACAATTACAAATAGGAATTGAATGCGAAATCAACCAATGGCGGAAAGACAAAGGAGATATGGTCTCAATGACCAAACAAGTGATCTCGGGTTACTAGCCCACAAGGAACTAACTAGTGCGCACTATATGTTGTATAGGGAACTCTCATCCCCTATACTAGAGACATATTCTAGCCTTAACATATTACAATGTCCATACAAGCTTTCCAAAAATTATCAAGTTGTGCAACAAGTATATCACATATACACAATGTACATTGTCAATTACCATGTATAAGCAAGTTATGGAATACACACAAGATATGCTCTAGGCCTTCAAGTTACAATGGCATATTAAATGTCATACAAGTATAATGTGTATGGAACAACTTAAATCATAACTTCTACTCATGGAATACCATCTTGTAATTATACACCAAGTTGCAAATTATAAATTAAGCAAGAATATAACATCAATACTTAATTACCTCAATAAAAGCATACAAATGGAATTTAATTAAATTAAATAATTAAATTATCAAGATTACAAAGCAACTCCAAGAATCCTAAATATAATATATGTCAAATGTCATAGCAAGGCATAATTTAATTACAAGTTACAAACCAATTCTACCTTAGTTACAACAAGGTAATTTAAGATCAATGCCAAGAAAATAATTAAATAAATTTCTTAAAACTCATTCAAATATTCTTAATTTAATAAATATAATAGAACATGCCAAGCTCATCAATAATATCAAGTAAAAAATCCAATTAAGTGATTAGAACACTTAAAGTAAAATTAATTAATCTATTTAATTAATTTTCTCTAGATTTTAAAACAATTCCAAATGTCCTCAAATTCACATATGTTAAAGAACATACTAAGGCCTAATTTAATATCACATTACAAGTTGATTCCATGTTAGTTACAACCATGTGAATTAAATTTTCATTCAAGTGAAAGATTAATTAAAAGTTGCATTACTTATTCAAATCCTCCCAATTTAATATATGTTAACAAGCATATCAAGGCTTAATTTAATAGCATGCTACAATTTAATTCCAAGTTATATACAACCATGAGAATTAAATCTTAAACACATAAAATAATTAAATTAAATTTTAGAATTAATACAAATGCATGCTTACAAGTTGTATATGCTTATAAACCATCAATACAATACATATTTAAACCTAAAACGTCCCCTACCTCAATTTGAGATGAAATCACAAATCCCCACCAAAACGAAAACGCTTCAAATCCGACGATACTTCGGGGTTTTGTCGAGGACAACACCATGAACATTAAACTCCAAAGAGGACCTACCAAAATCCTAACTTGACCTCAAACCCAAATTCAAATATTGGCCAAAAACGGGTTCTAATAAGGGAGAAAGGTGCGCGTCGTCAAGGCCTTCGATAAATGCTAAGGCACTATGATACTTTACCTAAGGGAAGAAGGTTAATTTGGGAAAATAGGGGTGGTAGCCATGGAAGGGCTATGAAATCTGGTCCAGAACGTGTGGAGAAAAAGAGGAAAATTATGTTTTAATTTTTCAAACCCCCTATTTATAGAAAATCTCAAAAAAGTGCCCCGAACGGGTCCTGCCTGGTCCGGAAAAGTGGAATTTGAGCAAATGCGTTCAAATGGAAAAAAAAAAAAAGAACCGACATAAGAAATGATGAACAATGGAAGAAATGACATCAAAAACTGAGTCCCGAGTAGAGAGATATGCCTCAAACAATTTTGGCGCTAACCGAGGTCGAAAACCCTAAAACTGTAGCGTTTGACCGCAAGACAATTCTAAGAGTACACGACTCGATGAAATGTGAAAATGAATCCTGTACGAGGATCCAGGCTCAAAATGAAGTATTTTGTAATAACTTTCGTTAATTGCACAATGGCCCCTACAAAAAGGGATAACTGTAAAACTACCCGAATGAAAATATCTTCCAAAAGATATTTTCTTAAAAATCCCGAAATAAAATATCTCCAAAAGATATTTGTGAAAAACACCCCAAGAAACAAAAATAATTTTGAAGAACTTTGCATCCATACCCTTGGACACTAAGAGCAACCAGAGTACTTTCCTACAAAAGTAAAGATACGTATTTTATGGAAACCACTTAGGATGAAGGTTCATGAAGTCAAAACTCAACTCCAAACATGAAAACTGAGGTTATGCCAACAAAGTGACAAACGGGGAAAAGGACGAAAAATGCATAGTATCGAAAAACGAAAAATGTAGAAATGATACGGTCCTTTAAGTAAGTTATCAATCCAAGTGAAAGAGTCTCGGAAACCATTTCCGAGGGCTTGAGACGACACTAAGTGATGAGTAACCGTACTCAGAAAGGAAAAATCAACGGAAAAAATTTATCCGTAAAAATCTGAGAAAAAGGAAAGGAAGGAAAATGACTGGGTCATTACACTAGAAGCTCACTAGAATGGACTTGAGATAGCTTTTTGACATTTAAAAGGGTAAACCCTAATTCAAATATGGGACTAAAAAAGATAAATAAATTAGAATTTATAATTAGTAAATGTTAATAATGGCTTTGAAGGGCATATAATCTCTAACATTTTTCACATCAAAATATACATTTTCAATAGTCTTTTCCAAGAAAACTTTTGTTCAAAGTCATCAATTTTCAAGAACTTTTATGTTTGAACATGTCTTTTACAAAATCATATTCTTTTCAAGTTCATGCATGCGCATATACCTATAAAGGAATATGTCTTACCACTTATCCGTATAATCTAGCTATCAAGACAATATTTAATTGTATGATGAAAAATAAGATAACAGTGCCTCGCGGATGTGTAGGGTGCCTAATACCTTCCTCATGTATATTCAAACTCTTGAATCCATTAATTTAGTTCACGAAGACTTAAATGATAGTCAAACATATTTAGGTACCATATTAGACTTCCTATATGTCAGAATAGTTAAATATTCTCGCAAGGCCTTAGACATTTCTAGAAGTCGTAGTGCACCAAAATCCAATGTTAGGTGATGACACCAAACATATGTTAATCGGCCATTTTCATAAGGAATACCGACCATAACCACTCCATTGTATATGTCCCTTTTCACCATGACTAATTACTATATCGCTTAGCATTTTTAGGAGGGAGGAAAACTCCGGGTGCAATAATAATGTGCCTTCGAAAAAGAATAAAGTGATAGTGTTATGCGCATGAGTAAAATGTCTATGCGTCCATGTAATAGGGATAAGGAATGTTATTTTAATATTTTTTTTTCCTTAGGAAGAAAAAAAATTGGACGGCAGAGAGAGAAGAAGGGATGGATGAGACATCCCTTGAGAAGAGATCTTGTCCTTAACTTTTTTTGTTCAGTTGGATGGAAGAAAAGAAAAAGGGTTGACAAGTTACTATGTTCATTAGGAGATAAGGAAGAGAGAGTTTTAAATTATTTTTACTATTATACCCATCAATATCTATAGTATTACAATTTATGAAGGATAGTTTTGTAATTTAAAACTTTTATAATAGGCCCACTTGATTTCCCACCTATCTTTCATCCATATTTAGAGGATGAAAAGTTATGAAGGAGGAAGTATGACTCATCCATTTTATTATCATTTTTCTCCTTATCTCATCTCCACTGAATGAAAGAAGCTTGTTCCTTCCTTCTAATCTTCCCTACACCACTCTTCCTTCCTTCATAATGAACGAACCATAAGTTTTCCATTCCTTCTCCATTATTTTTCCATCAAAATGCAAGACTGAGAATCTTCAAAGAAAAATGCAAAAGATTTGGGTCTGTTTGGTAACTACTTTTGCTTCTTATATTTGTTTTCAAATCGATAGAAAAACATAAACAAATATGAAAAAACATATTTGATAACATTTGTGTTATTTTGTGCCTAGTTTCTAACCCAATTTAACTCGTGGACAAGCTTTTTGGTTAGAACATCAATTAATCAGTAGAACTAGAAGCAACATGATTCAACCAACCACATGCCTGTTTTAAGCGAAAAACATCGAATTTCTCAAATAGTTGTCATTCAAATCTAACTTCACTAAATACAAACCATAGTACTAAATCTGCTTTAGAAAAAGAGTTAAATGTTTAAGTAAGAAAATATATTTTTGCTTATTATTGCTACTGTAGTTGAACAACTCGAAATTGATCTTTATTAAAAAAAAATTAAAAAAACCTAATATAATGTAAATTCCATCTTCTTCTTCTTCTTTTTTTTTTTTTTTTTTTACAATAATCCATACACATTTTATTTGTTTTTTTTTTCCTTATTTACTTTAAAACATTGTGCAACAAATTTAACCAAATAATATATAATTGGATAAATTACAACATAACAGAAGCATTGCTTCTGCTTTTGTATGAAATAAAAAATGGAAAGAAAAAAATAAAAAGAAAAACAAGTGTCAAGCTGTTACAAGCTAAATGTTTCTTAACTACAGCCACGCTGTTAGGAGATGTCTTTTGTATTTTTGAATACATTACTATTGCGTTCATGTTATCATTAAACCCATTTCCAGCCAGTGCATGACTAATCACTGGCGAGTAATGCTCTCCAATGTGGTTTCTTCTTTGGCAATTGATCTTTGTTCATTTGTTTTGTTTTTTCCTTCTTTGTTCTTTCCCCACAAAACGCTGTAGAGTCCTCCAATTAGCAATATAATCCCACCTACACTATTACCAATATAACAATAATTTTCATCAATGTTGAAGAATGCAAGTATGCATACATATTATATATACACACACACACACCCACGTGCACACAAATATAATAACATAAGAAAAAGCATTTGAACCTTCCCCAGTGAAGGATCTCATTCCACAAGCATGTTGAAAAGATGGCTGTTATGATAAATGCTAATGGACTGAACATAGCAACGAAAACAGGGCCCTGCTTGCCTATGATCCAAACTCGCAACCAGAATCCAACTCCAGTGACAATTATGCCCTGATATTCCATAAATTTTGAGTTTTAGATATTCATATATATATATATATATATATATATATATATATATTTATATGAAGGTAAAGGTGGAAATAGTATGCAAGTACGCACGCATGTTGGACTTCTCTATACTGATGCTATAACAACTTTTGCAATTTACTTTTAGTAAGTATAAACTATGTAATATAACAATCAATCATAATCACAACAATAAGAATAACAATATATAAATTTCATCCATGGGTATGACTTGAGTTATTCATGAACATTATTAGTTTAGACTTAGCTTTTCTAAAACTTGAATATTGTTTGTTCATTATATGAGATAGTCGAATTTGAGTATTAAGTATTAATTACGAACTCATTTATTACATGACTTGAGTTTGAACAATGGTCCGTTAAACTAATTAGGTTAATATGAAAATCCTAAAGTTTATCTTTTTGTTATTTTAAAAAGTTACATACTCATTATTTTTTATGAAAGAAGTATTACAATATAATTAATACTTTTCACTAGCTAATGTGTCAAGCCAAACCAAAAGCTTGAACTAAGCCCACAAAGAAATAAGGTTAAGAACTTATAAGTTAGATTAACTCCGTTTATTTACCCAACTATCAAAAACAACTAATTACTAATAGAATAATTTTAATAAAAGAACATGGGAATTGTTTCATATTTGTTATTTTAGTCTTTAGGCTTATCATTACTAAATTTAATACATAAATTACTATTAGAGAACCAATGACCTTATGGCCTAATGGTATCTTATCTACCTCTTAAAGTGGATGGTGAGAGTTTAAGTTTCCATAGGGGTAAATGTGGCCTAGTGGTATCTCATCTACCTCCCAAAGTGGATGGAGAGTGTTCAAGACCCCATAGGGGTAAATGGATGTGCGCTTCTTGCCAAGGGAAACAAATTACTGTCAGGAGTGGGAATAGAGACAAACGAAGAAGGTTTGGGTTTTGGCTTACTCAAATCGAGAGCCAAGATCTATATTTATATAAAAGAATAGGGTACAAAGAAAGGAAACCAAATCAAAGAAAGACAGAAAATATGTCAAAATTTACGTGGTCCCATGATTACGGGGATCTTATCTACGTGATCCCATGATTACGAGGATCTTATCTACGGGGATCTTACATAAAATACCTAATAAAAGGCTAAAAACAACTAATAAAAATAAAAATAAAAATAATAAAGATATTTTAACATTCCCCCTCAAGTTGGAGTGAAGATATCAATCAAGTCCAGCTTGGTAATCAAGGAATGAAGTAAAGATGGACCAACAGATTTGGTGAACACATCGGCCGACTGATTAGAGGAACGTATAAAGCACGACTTGATAATTCCCGAACGAACCTTCTTTTTGATAAAATAAATGTCCACCTCTATATGTTTAGTCATCTCGTGAAGAATAGAATCTGAAGTAAGCATGATGGCTGACTTATTATCATAAAATAAGCCTAAGGATTGCTTTTCACCTAGCCCTAGCTCTTCCAAGAAAGATCGAAGCTAGAGAATCTCACAAGTACCCTGAGCCATGGCACGATACTCAGCGTATGCTAAAGGTCTCGAAACTACAGGTTGTTTCTTATTTTTCCAGGATATAAGATGGTCTTAATAGAAAGTACAGAAGGCAGATGTGGAACGTCTGTCAGTTTTGGACCTAGCATAGTCTACATCATTGAAATAGGATAACCTAACCTGCTTGCTAGAAGAATAAAATAGTCCAAGTCCACAACATGACTTAACCTATCGAAGAATATAATATATCGCATCCATATGAGTTGTACGAGGAGCATGCATAAACTAGCTTACAACACTAACTGCAAAAGCCAAATCAGGGGGGTGTTGGTAAGATAAATCAATCTTCCCTCCAAACATTGATACTGCGAAAGGTCAGAAAGGAGATCTCTAGACTCAGCTAAGATCTTCAGATTAGGATCCATGGTAGTGGAAGCAAGTTTACACCTAAGCATTCCCGTGTCTTGAAGAAGATCAAAGACATACTTCTTTTGCGATAAAGAGATACCCTACTTAGATCTAACAACCCCAATTCCTAAGAAATATCTGAGCTGCCCAAGGTCTTTTACATAAAAAGTTTTAGCCAATTGAAGCTTTACTTAAGCAAACCCAGGGATGTCATTGCCAGTAATGATGATATCATTAACATAGACAAGTAAAATGATACATCGACCAGTGGAGGAATAGTGGATAATACATGTATGGTCAAAATAACATCTAACAAACTCTATGGATAGAATTACATCACTGAAGCAGCTGAACCAAGCTCTGAGAGATTGTTTTAATCTATACAAAGTCTTCCGCAATCGACATACCTTTCCAGCATACTCCCCTCAGCTTAAAAACCCAATGGAGGATCCATATAAATAGTCTCAAGAAGATCACTGTTAAAGAAAGCATTCTTCACATCAAACTGATGAAGAGGTCAATTATGGGAGGTAGCCAGGGAGATAAGCAAATGAACTGAGGTCAATTTAACTACTGGAGCGAAGGTATCATTAAAGTCTTTACCAGGAATTTGAGTAAATACTTTGGCCACTAAAAGGGCTTTATACCGATTAAGAAAGCCATCAGCCCGATATTTAGTACTGAATACCCATTTGCAACCAACAGTTTTTTCACTAGGAGGGAGAGATACAAGTTCTTATGTTTCATTATGTTGCAAAGCATCCATTTCTACCTTTATAGCAGACATCCAATTTGGATTCTGGAGAGCCTCAAACAACTTTTTAGGAATGGAAATGGAATCAAGTTTGCCTAGAAAGGCTCGGTAAGGCCCTGAAAAACAATCATAAGAGTTATACTGCAAAATAAGATGATCAGTATTATAAGCGAATCCAAATCAAGCAGGGAGTTTTCGATCCTGAGTGGGATACTGAGACTCAGGAGTAGGAACAGGATCAGGGCAATGTAAATGAGAGAGAGATGTATCTAAACCTGAATCTGAGGAGGATGAAGGCAGTTCAGGTAGAGCACGAGGGGGTGAGGAAACCACAAGAGAAGACTTTTCTTGAAAATAGGAAGTGGACGAACAAGAGGAGAAGCCTTTTGATCGAGAGTAGAAGTTTCCTACAATATAGTGTTAGAACCATAAAAGGGGATATGCTCATGAAAGGTGACAAAAAGAGCGTGATACATATGTTTATGTTCTGGATCATAACACCAGTAACCTTTTGATATAGAAGAGTATCCTAAAAAGATACATTTACTGGCCTTGTCATCAAGTTTAGTATGAGAAGGTTACGATTTTGAACAAAACATATACATCCAAACACCAGAGGCATAATGGAAAAAAGAGAAATATCAGGCTGAAGCACTTGTAATGGGGCTTACAGCAAATAAGAATAGGGAGGTGAAGGTTTTTATTTTGCTCTGATACCAAAAAGAAGAAGTTTTAGGTTTTGGCTTACTCAAACCAAGAACCAAGATCTACGTTTATATACAAGAATAGGGTATAAAGAAAAGAAACCAAATCAAAGAAAGATAGAAAATATGTCAAAATCTACGTGATCCCATGATTACGAGGATCTTATCTACGGGATCTCAAGATTACAAGGATCTTATCTACGTGATCCAATAATTATAGGGATCTTACATAAAAAGGCTAAAAACAACTAATAAAAATAATAATAATAATAATAAAAATATTTCAACAGAGACTATAATATTTATTATATCACATAAAGCTTACAATACATGCTAATATTGGCAATAAGATAGGTATGGGGATGAATTTATGTAAACTCCACCAACCTTTTTTAAAAATACTTGGTCCCATAAATGTTCCAGACTGGGACAAGTTTAAACTTATCATCTCATCTCCGTTTACAAACAATGCTCACAACCCTTTTCCTACCACATTATATCTAGTTTACTAAATCTGATTAAATAAACAAATAATCTATCAACCCATAATTATTTTTACCAACTTATAGTGATTAGTTATATCCAGTTTAATTTCTTTGTAAACTTAAGCACAAATGTGAATAGATTTAATCATGATATTCATCTAAGAATACATCAATCAAATAGAAATAATAAACAATTAATATGTGTAGTAAAATAAAAAGCGTAGAGAAACTTGCATACTAGATATACGAGGAAAACCCCTAACTCGGGATCTAAAAACCTCGGGACTTGGCTCAACCAAGAAATTCACTATGAAGAAAGAGAGTACAACTAGTCCAATTTAACACGATGAACACCAGCCTACCTTCAGACTTAGCAAGGCAACAAATCTTCAATGCTCGTTCACTTGCAATCGATTTACTCTATTATCAATTTCAACCCAGTTGCCCTGCTATCACACTCTAGGAGATCTCTTTGGTTGTCCTGTACCTGATCCATCTAACAGTTATATAAACCCATTGATCCACATTAATCCCATCATATATTGCTTCTTCACCTTGGAATCATTCTGACAACCAATCTGTCCACCATTTCACGGTTTGGTTTTGTTTGGCTATATATAGCACTTCGGGCCGTGTGTTGACATTTAATTTTCAGCGCACACCACAACAATATTTATCAACGTATGTATAACATCATAATCACCATATCTAATGTAGAGTATATGATATATGTGTATGATACATAATACAAAAGGCACAAGATATATAATAAAATATAACAAGTTCTCACACGCAGACTCTCTTATGGATACACACAAGTAGAACTCTCACACAGAACACTTATAGATAAATAAATAAACAAAGAATGCTTTAGCGATAGAATAAACACTCTAGGACTATATAATTCTTGCCATGACTTAGGGCACACGGTCTTTACTTTTAGACCCTGTATATATAGAGAACATTGCTTGCTCCACACATAAGGTTCTTGGTCTCCAAATAAACTTGTTCTCTAAGTTGAGAACTTATTTTCTAAGTAAAATAAAACAAAATTAAAAGACAATTCTAGAAGAATTTGAGTACATGCCCTTTCTACTCTAAAAAATATTTTAATCTTCACCAA